TCTCTCCCAGCTGGGTTTGAACCAGCGACCTTGAGGTTAACAGCCGCACGCTCTACCAACTGAGCTATAGGAGAAGCACGACAAGCTACCCACCACACCACCTCGCGAAAATTGCATTCCTGACAAACACACACGCATTCACTCCAAACCGCTCCGCCACACGCATATCAACACCACCAACCACCCTCTCGCCCACACACACTCGCTCCACCACCCACCCACCCGCCAAACACGCTCATACACCCGGAAACACCAACAAACTATCAACAACAAAAAATACGCCAACCACCTTGACGGACTGCCAAACACTTCACGACGCTGCTGCTCCTCATCCAAGCGCGGCAACAGCCTTCCCAGCGCACCACTCGGTTTTTACAACCCAACAATCGCATCAACATATCGACTTCCTCAAAGTCGCTGCTTCGAACCCGCCGGTGGTCGGTTCGGTCTGGACACTCCCTTACCGAGCAACTGCGACTACAGCGTGCGCGTCGAGTGCTCAGGCGACTCACTCAGCCACCAGCAAGCCGCGGGCAACAGATGCGGCACTCAAATGGTGAGCAGCAGAGCAGAACAAGATCGCCACAACTCGCAGCGACGTCGATGCTGCGTCGATCGAGCGGCCGCAGTAGGTCGACGGAAAGCCGAGCGGTCTCCTAACAAAATCACAGCGACGGGGTGGAACAGGCAGCATAGCGGCGAGGCAATGACGTAGCGACGTAGTGCGTGGAAAGCGTAGACAAGCAGAACGAGTCCACAGCAGTAGTTAGTTGGGTGGCGCAAAAGAATCTCTCCCAGCTGGGTTTGAACCAGCGACCTTGAGGTTAACAGCCGCACGCTCTACCAACTGAGCTATAGGAGAAGCACGACAAGCTACCCACCACACCACCTCGCGAAAATTGCATTCCTGACAAATACACACCTATCGGTACGCTTACAAGAGTAGGCGCTAATCGTTGCCTTAGTAGTTGGGCCGGGGAAAAACTACTCATTTACCTGAGAAGCGCTCTCTCCGCCTCTGCACGCCTTAGTCAGGAAAACGACAGTTGAGGCTCGTTCGCGAGGAGTCGTGTGGCGGAGACTAAGTCCTGCCACTACTCCTGGGAAGCGGCTTGCTCGCGGACACGACGCTGAGGGAAAGATGGTAGACTGGGCCAGCTTACGGGCGAATCGCTCACGGAAAGGGCGAGGTCGCTAGTAACTATCCTATCCCGTTCCTTGGAGAAGCGTCTGTCGAGCCAAGTTGTGTTACTCATACTGGAGCGGTATGAGATGGAAACAGAACGGATACGGTCGAAAAGGAGTGGTCGAGAGTCGCCGTGTCACCGAGCGCCTCTACTTCATCGGCCTCGCGTCAAGAAAGTGGCGTTTGACTGTACATCGCACTTTGCGGAACGCACTGAAGCGTTCGGAGACTACCCTTCGTGCATGGAGGAAGCCGATGATGTCTGCCATTACGTGTGCTTGATGCGAGATCACGTGGAGCGGGCTGCGAGATGGAAACCTGGCTTACGTGAAGTTTCTCCTGATCCGGACGAGAGTGCTTGTCACGCTGGAGTGAGCAGGGTGCCCCTTGTTCCCACTGGAAAGAGAGTGATTGGATCTTTAGCCGGTACCGAAGCTCTCTCGGCGGGATACATCGACTGTTTGCCGTCTCGAATGCTGATCGACAGGGGATCTCCATACAGCCTGGTGGATTCTAGAGTCCTTCGGCACCTCGGTCGCTCCAAGGACCCTCTGCGACCTTACCTGGGTAGCATTGGTTCAGTCTCGGTCCATGAACTCCGCGTCAGAGGAGTGCTCGACCTCCCTGTCCGTCTGGGAACGGTTGAGGAATCACGGGCCCTCGTCGTGGTGGATCGACTTCATGTGGCTGCTATACTGGGAACTGATATACTGAAAACGTACCGAGCCGAGATCGACCTAGAAGACAGTACCATGACTTTGAAAGGTACCGGGGGAGTGCTCTAGTTGGGCTCCCCTAGCATCGAGGAGACTCACTGTTCCAGAATCTGTGCTAGTCCGCTTACACCCCGGAGGGCAAGCGCTCGTGAGAACCGATGGCTTGGGTGAGGTGGACGACGAGGCTTCATTGTTGGTGGAAGGTCTGCCTGGCCTGGATTCTCAAGTGCGAGTGGTTCGAACGTTGTGCGCTGTGCGCAAGAACAAGGTGATCGTGGAGATCTGCAACGCTTCTACGGAAGATGTGGTCATCAAGAAGGGCACTTTGCCGGCTACTTCCACGGTGGTTCCGAAGGCTGCGTTCGGGTACGAGCGGAAAGTGAGACGTCCTGCGAGGACCGCGGGGCGATCTTCTACCACGGCTGCCGTGAACTCTCGTTGAGTCGACTAAGTTATCGGCTGAACTCCTAGCGAGCCTTCCTCCTCCTCAGATCCGACCCCTGGTCTAGAGGAAGCTCGTGGCCGAACTGGACATAGATTTCGCCGACTCGAAGCCGAGCGAGGAGCAATACGCTCTCTTCCGAGCGTTACTGGAATCGTTTGCTGATATGTTTGTGGAGACCTCTTTGAAGCCTGGAAGGACGGATCTCTTAGAATTCTAGATAGACATGGGTACTCAAACACCTCTTAAGTCTAGGCCATATCGAGTCTCGGGAGCCGTGGAAGACGTCATGGAAGCCAAAATTCAGCAGTATCTCGAGCTGGGGCTCATCCGACACGCAAACAGCCCGTGGGCTAGCCCTGTCCTTATGGTTCGGAAGCCTGACGGCGGCATCCGATTTTGCATCGATTACCGTCGGTTGAACGCAGCTACGGTCAAGTACTGTTATCCGATGCCCCTCATCGATGACATCTTGGATGTATTGGGGAACGCTAAACTATTTTCCACTATGGACATCGCTTCTGGGTATTGGAACGTTCCCATGACTGCCGACAGTGTTGAGATGACGGCGTTTGCCTGTAAATATTGGCACTTCGGATGGCTAGTCATGCCTTTTGGACTATGCAATGTGGTGCCCGCTTTTGAACGGCTCATGGAGAACGTTCTGATCGATCTGAAGTGGAGGACATGCTTGGTGTATCTCGATGACTGCGTGGTGTTCAGTAATGATTTCCCGACGAATTTGGCTCGCCTGAAACAAGTACAATAACGGTTTAGAGCTGCCGGATTGAAACTCAAGATGAAGAAGTGCAAGTGGGGGCGGGACCAAGCAGTCATATCATCATGCCATCGGGTATTTTGCTTAATCCTGAAAAAGTCAGAGCGGTGATGAACGTGCAGAGACCTCATGATATACATACGGTGAGAGCCTACCTGGCCCTTAAGAGTTACTTCCGAAGGTATATTCGGGTTTCGCTGCGAGCTCTTCCCTTATTAAACGTTTGAAGGTGAAAGGTGTTGAGATCTCCTGGAATGAGGACTGCGAGGCGGCGTTCAGACTTCTAAAGCGTCGGCTCGTTGAACCCCCAATACAGTTTTCCCCGCCTAATCCGGAAAGGTGGGACCAATAAAGACTGCGAGGTTGCAAGGATCGCACAGGTATCACATAGATGCAGATTGTACTGAGTTACTCAATTCTAGCAATTCATGTATGCATGTCTGTTTCCCGCAAGATGGCACTTTCCCGCAATTTCTCATTTAACTCAGTAAATTGTGTGGCGGGCAGCAAATCGCCATTGCACTATGGAGCTATATCTGAAAGGTAAATGGCTGGTCGGAATTCCGGATTAGGCGGGGACGTCTGTACTAGTATACCCTGATTTCGCGAAGCGTTTCAAGTTGTGTGTGGACTCGTCGAAACTAGCGATTGGCGCCTGCTTGATGCAGTCGGTTGATGGGCGCGACCGCGTCGTTGCCTACGCCAGCAAGCTGCTGGTTGGGTCGGAGGAAAACTGGGTCAATAAGCAAGACGGAACCTCCGAGGTCGAATGCTGGGGCATCGTGTGGGCGACCCGGAAGTTCCACTGTTATCTGAATCGACGGGAATTCGACCCTTTCACCGACCACAAAGCGCTAGTGGGGTTGTTCAACGAGAAAACCGTACGAGTAACGCTAAGTTGGCTCGGTGGGCTATGGAGTTATCTTGGTTACAGTTTAAGGTGTTCCACAAACCTGGAACTACTATGAGACAAGTGGACGGTCTGTCTAGGTTGTACACTGCTGCCGTGAACGTTATCTTAATAGCCGACTTGCTGAATGACTCGGACCTTGGTGGACAGGGGTTGGATCAAGTCGGGGAGGGGTCACCTCCTGACGCTGGACCTCCGGCGACGAGGGCCCGACCCTGTTCCTCAAGGCGAAACCGCCGCAACTGATGGACTGGGTGCGTCCAAGTCGGGAGAAGGGACTACTCGATACGTAGGACACTGAGCCGATGAAACACAAAGAAACGAATCCTGTTCTACCTGCTGTAGACCCAGGGGGAGGGTCCGTATGCTGATTCCGATGAGGAAGGGACGGAGCAGACGACAATCACGCCAGTGGACCCGTTTGGCCTCGATCGCGAAACGTTTGTCGAGGAGCAGCGTCGCCCGCCTTGGGTCATCGCAATGATTGTCTTCCTGGAGAGCGGAGCGTTAGCCTCGGATACGCAACTACGCTCGAAATTGCTGTTGATTGCGCCACACTACGTGGTACGGAACGACATTTTAATGAGGAGAGTTCACTTGAAGGCCCGCGCGGGACCGGCCATATTTCCGGCCATATTTCCATGCTCGTCGTGGAGAAAAGAAGACGAAGCAACTCGTTTTCTCATGGTAGGGCCCGTACCGTATCGTAAGAAAGGTCGGTACAAATGCTTACCGCGTATCGATCCCCACCCATCAGAACCGAGTCGTGACGGTGAATGCCAACCGATTAAAGGCTTTCAAAGGGCGTTGGAGTCGGCCTTTTCCTAGTGAGGTCCCGGAGGAGATCGATACCCTCCCTGGCGTCGATGACGACAGTCCTCTTGACGAAGAAGACCTGCC